TTCACAGTTCTTTAAAATGTATAACGGCACTAGACAGGGATGCCCACTCTCTCCTTTGTTATTTGTAATATCCCTGGAACCCGTGATGGTAAGAAAGTGTGGATATAACAGGAATAACGATAGGTGAAGTAGAACATAAGGTGACAGTGTATGCAGACGATATGTTATTCAATATTGTGAATCCTAGAATAATGTTGCCTAAATTAATGAGACTATTAAAACAGTATAGAGAGCTATCAAACCTGAAAACCCATCAAAGTCAGAGATATTCAACATCAATGTCTCAAAGACAGAGAAGCAAACTCTACAAAAAGATTTTCCATTTACATGGAGGGAAAAGGAATTAGGTTATCTGGAAATAGAGTTAACGCCTTCAATAAAAGGCATATACCAGGCTAATTATATCCCACTAATAAACGTAATAAAGGACAAGTTAGGGAGACTTTTAAAGGGAGGGGCCTCTTGGATAGGTCACATAAATCTGGTAAAGATGGTGATAGTGCCAACAATTCTGCTTAAGTTTCACATGCTCCCAGTACATTTAACAGGATCTTTCTTTGAGATAATAAAGAGGATGATACTTAAGTTTATATGGGTAAATAAGAAAGAATTAAATATGAGCTACAGTGTTCGGGCAAAAGGGAACTAGGGACTGAACCTGCCTAATTTTAGGAAATATTATTGATCGGTGATATTATCATTAATTGTAGAATGGACATATAATTCACAAGGGAAATGTTGGGAAAATATGGAAGAGACTATGAGTAAGGCACAATTGGAGAAGATTATCTAGATCAGACATAATTTTTGTATATTGGATGTGAATACTAGTTTTTTGACAAGAAAAGTTTTAAGAGTGTGGGACACTATACACAAGCAAAAGGGATGGAAATATAATTCAATATTACTTCTGTTTGTGGGAACAGAGTATTTTCCTCCAGGGAAGGATAATATTTCTGGGAAATGGATTAAAGATAAAAATGCATGTTTGAAGGATATAATGGAAAAGGGTGCACTTTTCTAGATTTAAAGAAGAAAAAAGATTTAATTTTCATATTGGACGAGTGGCGGTACCTATCAATTAGGTCATTTTGTTTCAATGCTCCCACAACCACTGAGGATGCTGGAGGATCTGCATCCATTTGAAAAATTAAATTGTTGAATGTAAATACAGAGCAAAACACGCTACGTCTAGGATTTATAAGATCCTTATTGATTTTGAGGGACCGGATCCTCCCACGTTCTTACAGAAATGGGAAAAGGAGCTGGGAACCGAATTGAATAAGTAACAAAAGAATAAGATATTTAAATTAACACATGAGGTAATGTATATGAGCACTGTTGAAATGAATTACAAATGTTTGGCGAGATGGTATATTACACCAAGTGTTGCACATAAACAAGTAAATGATTCACTTTTATGTTGGTGAGGTTGTGGAAAAAAAAGGGAACAATGGCACATATATGGTGGGAATGTCTTAAAATACAAGAGTATTGGCAGGAAATAATCCAGTATATTCAGGAGATACTTGGGATCACCATTCAGAAGGACCCGTGGGTTTGTTTATTTTACAAATCTGAGTTCTCAGCAAAAGTATATAAAAAACAGGTTATTATACCATCTAATTAGTGCAGCTAAGGGCCTTATTATCAAGTTCTGGTATCCCCAGAGCCCCCAAAAATAAAAGATTGGTTAAATAGAGTTGAATATATAAACAGGATGGAGGAGCTATACCATATGGAGGAGAATAAAATGTAAAAAATGTAGGACACTTTGAAGTAGATGGTTAGACTTTAAAATATCCAAAATATACCTGTACGTTGTTGGAGTATATGGAGGAATGTTTGGAGAATATATGATTGAGTATCTGTGTGGAGGGGGGGGGGGGGTGAAGGAGAGAGATTGGAGGTAGGAGGAAAGAAACATAGCTATAGACAGAAAAATAAGGGAGGAATTAGAAGGAAGGAATTGGGATATGGACAAGGGTATTTGGATGGGGGGTAGGGAATAGGACAATTTAACTGGAATTTGTGTATATATGAATTGTGTGGGTATAAGATTAATTTTTGTAATGGAAAAACGTAATAAATTATATAATAAAAAAAACAAAAAAATGACTGTCACTATTCGATATAAAGCACTACCAGTGAATAGTTCCTAATATGGAGACTTAAGTGGATGCACTTTATTATGGCAAGAGAGAAAATACAAAGGCTACCTTTGGTGACCAGCTCTGTATTAATCACACTATGGCAGGGGTGGGCAACTGTGGCCCTCCAGCTGTTGTAGAACTACAAGTCCCGTGAGAAATTGCAAAACTGACAGTTACAAGCATGACTCCCAAAGGCAGAGACATGATGGGACGTGTAGTTCACCAACAGCTGGAGGGCCACAGTTGCTCACCCCTGCTCTATGGCATCAATACTGTCATAGTTAATATCCACACTTTGTGATAAATAAATAAAAACCACAAATAATAGCGCAACCCCTACACCTCAATAATTAATTAAATTAATTAATAAATTAAATAAATAAATAACATTGATTAAATTAATCCACCACCGTGCAAGTGCACAAATATTATACCATTACTTAAATAAATAAGTAAACCCTCATAAAGTCTATTCACAAAAGTCCATATATATTCCAATATGATCCTCAATAAATGAAGTTATGAGATCTTCCTTCACCAATGTGACATCCAGTGCTTTAACACCCCATCAAAATACACACTCGCCAGATACTGGTGAAAACCAGCATATCTGTATATAACCAGCACTCCACCACTGAGTTCCAGCTTATGGATATCCGTAATACTCCACAGTAACCAGCCTGCATGCAACCAAGATGGCGTTGTTGCGATCACGTGGTCCGGAGCCGAGAGTTGGTGCGCGTTGTGACATCACCGGATAGCCACGCCCTAACACGTTTCGTCATATGACTTCTTCTGAGGGAGTTATTTATTTATCACAAAGTGTGGATATTAATTTAGTGGATATATATTAACAGCACCTACAGTGGGGCAAAAAAGTATTTAGTCAGCCACCAATTGTGCAAGTTCTCCCACTTAAAAAGATGAGAGAGGCCTGTAATTGGCATCATAGGTAGACCTCAACTATGAGAGACAAAATGAGAAAAAAAAACAGACAGACAATCACATTGGCTGATTTGGAAAGAATTTATTTGCAAATTATGGTGGAAAATAAGTATTTGGTCACCTACAAACAAGCAAGATTTCTGGCTCTCACAGACCTGTACCTTCTTCTTTAAGAGACTCCTCTGTCCTGCACTCATTACCTGTATCAATGGCACCTGTTTAAACTTGTTATCAGTATAAAAGACACCTGTCCACAACCTCAAACAGCCACACTCCAAACTTCACTATGGTGAAGACCAAAGAGCTGTCGAAGGACACCAGAAACAAAATTGTAGACCTGCACCAGGCTGGAAAGACTGAATCTGCAATAGGCAAACAGCTTGGTGTGAACAAATCAACTGTGGGAGCAATAATTAGAAAATGGAAGACATACAAGACCACTGATAATCTCCCTCGATCTGGGTCTCCACGCAAGATCTCACCCCGTGGGGTCAAAATGATCACAAGAACAGTGAACAAAAATCCCAGGACCACACGGGGGACCTAGTGAATGACCTGCAGAGAGCTGGGACCAACATAACAAAGGCTATCATCAGTAACACACTATGCCGCAAGGGACTCAGATCCTGCAGTGCCAGACGTGTCCCCCTGCTTAAGCCAGTACATGTCCGGGCCCGTCTGAAGTTTGCTAGAGAGCATTTGGATGATCCAGAACAGGATTGGGAGAATGTCATATGGTCAGATGAAACCGAAATACAACTGTTTGGTAGAAACACAACTCGTCGTGTTTGGAGGAGAGAGAATGCTGAGTTGCATCCAAAGAACACCATACCTACTGTGAAGCATGGGGGTGGCAACATCATGCTTTGGGGCTGTTTCTCCACAAAAGGGACCAGGACAACTGATCCATGTACAGGACAGAATGAATGGGGCCATGTATCGTGAGATTTTGAGTGCAAACCTCCTTCCATCAGCAAGGGCATTGAAGATGAAACATGGCTGGGTCTTCCCACATGACAATGATCTCAAACATACCGCCCGGGCAACAAAGGAGTGGCTTCGTAAGAATAATTTCAAGGTCCTGGAGTGGCCTAGCCAGTCTCCAGATCTCAACCCCATAGAAAACCTTTGGAGGGAGGTTGCCCTGCGACAGCCCCAAAACATCACTGCTCTAGAGGAGATCTGCATGGAGGAATGGGCCAACATACCAGCAACAGTGTGTGCCAACCTTGTGAAGACTTACAGGAAACGTTTGACCTCTGTCATTGCCAACAAAGGATATATAACAAAGTATTGAGATGAACTTTTGATATTGACCAAATACTTATTTTCCTGCATAATTTGCAAATAAATTCTTTCCAAATCAGCCAATGAGATTGTCTGGATTTTTTTTTTTACTCATTTTGTCTCTCATAGTTGAGGTCTACCTATGATGCCAATTACAGGCCTCTCTCATCTTTTTAAGTGGGAGAACTTGCACAATTGGTGGCTGACTAAATACTTTTTTGCCCCACTGTATCTGAATTTAAATATCAACATTTATATACATAGGTGCAATGATTTAATCTGGATGGTGGTTTTGGAAGAATTCAGACACCATTTAAAGGTTGAATTATAAGGGTCAATACTGTCATAGTGACTGGCCTGAACAAAGCATGCAGACATTTTATCTGATCTGCATACCTGCTCTGGTCAGTGGCTCACAGAGCTTTGAATCCAGAGTATCAGCATGAGAGCTTGGCAATTATTAGGAAAACAAAAAAGTTGTGAAATAAACAAGCTTTTTCAAAAATATGTTACCAAAGCAGAGTATTTGATCAAACAATTGAGTTTGCCGTACAGTTACCATACCCATCTCTAAAAGATACAAGCCTTTTAGCAATAAATTAAAGATATTCTCACTTGTGGATTTTTGAACAATGCGTATTTCTCAATGCGTTCCACAAACATCAGCTTGTTTTGGCTATCCCGGGTCCAGTTCAACAAGTTCTCAACTAGATTTTCATGGTCTTCAAAAATACGCTCTGTAGAAAGATCAAAGGATCCGTGTTGGGTCATTCAGCTATAAGTGTACAGCACAATTTCAAAATATATTAGTTTTGCTGGTTTTGGAGGCTGGAAACATGCAAGAATTTAAAAGTTTCTACACACTCTATATTATCATTTAAGAAAATAGCTGCAGTCCTAAAACTATTTCAATGTGAGCCAGTTAGGTTTCTTTAATTGGTCAGGCAATGAATCAACGTTGTGTTCAATGATGACAATCTTTTCTTAGTCTCACCATTATAGCAATCAATGAAATAAGAAGGCGGTTCGTATGAAATAATGTGCACATGTGATGACAATCTCTCGCATGAGTAATATTTTTTGAGGCTTGCTATTATAAATATCCTTTGTGCTTGTGTGACGAAAAAGACAGATTAACAAGGTATAGATCATTCCAACTGCAATATATTCTGCAGGGGAAGTGGATTAACAGTGAATCTGTAGAGCTGCATTAGGCTAATATAATGAACAGAGAATTACTTGGCACCATTTTCCTGTTTTTTTGCTAATTACATATTTTAAGGACTGTGAGAATAATTGAGAAAATGTATTTGGAGAGCAGAAATAGTTTCATTGTTTGTATGATCTTAACAACAACAATAAAAAATTCTTTAACAGCTATAGATACATATGCAAATATTTCAGGGACTTTCTTCAATTCCTGCCAGTAATTGTATTGAAAAATAATGCAATAATCTGAATCTTGGAAGACTGAAACTGTCTGCTACTACCGTGGCTAATCCTGTATTTGTTTATTTGCTTTTTAAAAAATATTTGGTTTTGAGACAAACCATTTACCACAGGGGTGCTTACAAAGGTCAGCTTCTATATATTTCATGTAAAACCTTTATCCCAAAAGAAAAAATCTGTTTGCTGTAGTTGATTATAAAGTGTGAGCTGAAGTTTAGCTTCAATTTGTTAGTATATTAAAAACTGCTAGTACATTTAACAGTACCCTCCCATCAGAATGACAATGCTGCTTTCCAAATGTGCCCCCTGTGCTCATTTACCTAGAGTGGGGGCACTCTAATACAGTAGATGTATTACTGGCCAGATCACTAGGTGAATACAGAGGGGAAAAAGCCTAAAAATAAAACCTAATGTAACGAACACATTTGGTAAGCTGCAATATATTATATTTTTGGCTTTGGGTTTAATATAAACTCTGGAGATGAGCACAGTGCAGATAACTATACACACAACTTGGAAACAGCTGAAATCCGGGAGCAAAAACTTTAATTTAAACATTTCTAAATAGCCAGAAAGGATCTAAATCCACTGTGTGAGAGCCATGTTTTTGCCATTCCAGATACTATCTTGTAAAAGTAGTGATGATATCATCACTGCGCTGTAAATAGCCTGTACAGTTAGCAGAGCTGAAGTGCTTCCTGCACTGGGGCTGAGGCAAGATCAGTCACTGCACAAGTAGAGCAAGCAGCAGTGACTGGTCTTTGTTATAGGAAGCTCTTGCACAGAGGCAAAGTTTCACGCTGGAATACTGCACAGATTTGGAAGAAATACACAGAGCACACCAAAATTCAAGTATGAAAACACGACGAATGTACTGTATTTTTCGCTCCATAAGACACACTTTTCCCCCCCCCCAAAAAAAGGGGGGAAAATGTCAGTGCGTCTTATGGAGAAAATATGGAGCGGCTGGTCCGGTATTTTCGCCGCCACCACCGTGTCAGAATACCGGGCCGGCCGCTCAGCTCTTCTCTGCAGCAGGACCTTACCTGTTCCTCGGTCCAGCGCTGTACAGTCTTCCCGCACCAGCATCTTTAGTGTGGGTACTCGGCTGTGACAGCCGAGTGCCCACTGCGCATGCGCGAGAAGCGCTGCGCTTTGTGAATGGCCCCCGGCGTCTTCTGGGACACATGACAGGTCCCAGAAGATGCTGGGCCATTCGCAAAGCGCAGCGCTTCTCGCGCATGTGCAGTGGGCACCCAGCTGTCATACGGGTGCCCGCACTAAAGGGAGGACAACTCCGCAGAAGTGGGAGCGGGTACCTGTCAAATTCAGGTACCTACTCCCCCTCCCTCCCCAAAGGTCCGCAGTCTCTTGGTCATCTCCTGTACTGTCTGCAGTCTCTGGTCATCTCCTGTATGGTGTCCGCAGTCTCTGGTCATCTCCTGTACGGTGTCCGCAGTCTCTGGTCATCTCATATACTGTGTCCGCAGTCTCTGGTCATTTTCTGTACTGTGCCTGCAGTCTCTGGTCATTTTCTGTACTGTGCCTGCAGTCTCTGGTCATTTTCTGTACTATGTCTGCAGTCCATTGGTTCAGAATATTTTTTTTCTGGTTTTTCACCTCTAAAACCTAGGCGCGTCTTATGGTCAGGTTCGTCTTATGGAGCGAAAAATATGATAATTAGACAATATTTGTTTATGACAGAGTTCAGCTTTAATTAATACGACTACGTCAACTGGGTGAAACTGGTTATGTTATTTTGTACATCTTTTCCCTGCATTCCTAAATAAGCCAATTATTCTCTTAAGTGAAATGGCAGTCAAATAGGATTTTTGACTTTCCAGGGTAGGAATTCCAGGTGCAATGATAAACTATGAGAAGTCGACTTCCTAGCCTTCAACAGCCATGCCATTAAAGCTAACAACTGGGCAAGGATGGATGGAACACTGGTCTTTGGGACAGGAGGTCCAAATGATCCAGAAGAACCCAAGGTAAGGATAAAGTCTACATCTCTTTGAACAGTACAGCTCCTAGTGCCTCCTCGTGTAGGCCTTGGCTGTGGTACTTACTGACTGATTCTTGTTGGGTGTCCTCTTAGGAGAGAAGTCCAGCATTCAAAGGGCAACCAAATCACTCCAATGTCCAGAATGCCAATAGGGATGCAAGCATCATCCAATGACCACACCCCCTGCACTGACAGGGTGTCTAGGGATGTACCCAAGCCCAACAGGCTGGCATTTGTTGCAAAGCTTCCTATGATTAAGAATGAAAGGGTCACTCCCTAACTCCAGGGTTGGCTTTTAAATCCTCCATGATAAAGAGAGCCTGGACCTGAGGATCATGGCATACAGTACAGCCTTAAGGGAGTCAACCACGACACCCAGAACTCTCATGTAGGCATGAACCAAGGATTTACTCTGAGCTTGGAGGAATTAGAGGAAAGGAACAGAAGTTGGTACTTGAGCAGAAAAATCCTGGACAGGGCCTTGTCTAGAAACAGTCCCAAATACTCCAACCTGTGAGACGGGCCCAGCGATGATTTCCTCAGATTGAAGATACACCCAAAACACTAGCAGATGTTTATCCAATAGGCACAGGGATGATTGGTCCTTCATTAAAAAATTGTCCAGGTACTCCATAACGTGAACCCCTCAAGTGGAGGGAGGCACCTTGGTAAAAACTAAAGGAGCTGTGGAACGAACTGGCCTTACTGATCTTCCACCACAAACTGCATATACTGGAATATATGCTGGAGTTGATCATTCAATAAAACCAATTTCCCTTCCTTTGTAAATAAAATCTTATATTAACAGATGTTATGAACAAAGTTAGAGAGATTGCACTGACATACAGTGCTCCCTCTATTGAATGGTCTAACGATTTATATGTAATAACATAGAAAGGCAAATTTTCAGAATGTGAAACATGCATCAAAAAATGCTTTAAGGTGAAAAACAGATAATTCACAGTATGTGCTCATTGAAAATTCAATGTATATCTGTAAATAAAATCTAGAGCTGGAATGATATTAATACTCATTTCTAAATCGTAGCACAACCAAAAAAGGCATTCATGAGCCTAAAAGTGGTTGTAAAAGTTCAAGGCTTTTTAAATTCATGCAGTCAAGTAAAAAAAAAAAAAAAAAACCTGTGTGCAGAAGCCCCCCAATACTTACCTAAGCCCCATATTGATCCAGCGAATGTGCATGAGAGCCTCAGCTCTCCAGGAATTCTCCCTCCTCATTGACTGAGACAGCAGTGGGAGCCATTGGCTCCCGCTGCTGTCAATCACAGCCAGTGAGCTAATGAGGAAAGAGGGAGTTGGGCTGTGCTGCGTCTCTATGTGTGAATGCACATGCAGAGCAGCAGCTTGGGAGCGAGCTTGGGAGCGAGCTTGCTCGGGTGCCCCCATAGCAATCTGCTTGCTCTGGGGCACTCACCAGGAGGGAGGAGCCAGGAGCACCAGCGGGGGACTTAAGAAGAGGAGGATCGGGGCTGCTCTAAGCAAAACCACTGCACAGAGCAGGTAAGTATAATTTTTTTTTTTTTTAATTTACCTTTAATATCACTATAAGTTATTAAAACTTTTACACAAAATTGCCACATTTAAATCAAAATATTATACATTTGTTAATAACGTATCTACTCGGGAAGCCTTACAAATTCTTTTAACATGCTTCACAGCTATAAAGAGACTCACCCATCTGCAGCTCAGAAATGGTTTCCACCAGTGACCAATCCAGGCTGTATCCACAGTGGGATTTATCCATCAAATTGTCCAGCACCTGCCGTACGTTTGCCTCTCATCCACCATCATTGTCTTTGAGCTGTCATCTGACATGTGCACTCTGATTACCAGCTGGGAAGAAGAGAAACAAGTGAAGAAAACAAGTTACACCTAGCAAATTGTTAAAAACAGTTACCAATGATTAATAAGTAATAGGCTGAATTTACACATTTAAGATTTTGGTATCAATGGAGACACATTATAATGCATGATAATGTATGAGCATCATGATGTGCATCAATGCGTGTAAATGTACACTATGTTAAGATATGTGCTGACATTTAATACAAAGTTTGCTGTAGATTTCAACACCTTAAAGAAAGAGCCCTAAAAGGAAAATAGCTTTTAACTTTAAAGAAGCACAAACATACCTACAGTTACGTTCAAAATAATAGCAGTGTGTTGAAAAAAGTGAATAAAGCTCAAAATCCTTCTAATAGCTTTTATTTCCATACATACAAATGCATTGGGAACACTATACTTTCTATTCCAAATCAAAACATAAAGATTAAGATCGGGGATTGGGCTGGCCACTCCATAACGTCAATCTTGTTGGTCTGGAACCAAGATGTTGCACGTGTACTGGTGTGTTTGGGGTCGTTCTCTTGTTGGAACTCCCATTTCAAGGGCATTTCCTCTTCAGCATAAGGCAGCATGACCTCTTCAAGTATTCTGATGTATTCAAACTGATTCATGATCCCTGGTATGCGATAAATAGGCCCAACACCGTAGTATGAGAAACATCCCCATATCATGATGCTTGCACAACCATGCTTCACTGTCTTCACAGTGTACTGTGGCTTGAATTCAGTGTTTGGGGGTCGTCTGACATACTGTCTCCGGCCACTAGACCCAAAAAGAACAATCTTACTTTCATCAGTCCACAAAATGTTGCTCCATTTCTCTTTAGGCCAGTCAATGTGCTCTTTGGTAAATTGTACCCTCTTCAGCACGTCTTTTTCAACAGTGGGACTTTGCGGGGGCTTCTTGCAGGTAGCTTGGCTTCACATAGACGTCTTCTAATTGTAACAGTACTCACAGGTAACTTTAGACCTTCTTTTATCTTCCTGGAGCTGATTGTTGGCTGAGTCCTTACCATTTTGGCTATTCTTCTATCCATTCGAATGGTAGTTTTTTGCTTTCTTCCACGTCTTTCAGGTTTTGGTTGCCATTTTAAAGCATTTGCGATCATTTTAGCTGAGCAGCCTATCATTTTCTGCACTTCTTTGTATGTTTTCCCCTCTCCAATCAACTTTTTAATCAAGGTACGCTGTTCTTCTGAACAATGTCTGGAACGACCCATTTTCCTCAGAATTTCAGAGAGAAATGCACTGTAACCAGCATGTACAACATTTGCTGCCTTCCTTCCTTAAATAAGGGCAATAATTGCCACCTGTTTTTCAAAGAATGAATGACCTCACTAATAGAACTCCCCACTGCTATTATTTTGAACATTTTGAACATGCCCCTTTCAATTAGTGATTCAATTACACAGAATCAGCAGCATGCATGTCATGACTGTTGGGTCTGTTGGATTTCTATTACTCCACTACACCTGCTAGTAAATTATTTTCCATGTAGAAATATAATTTCTATAATAAGTATAATAATTTCTACCAAAAACAGTGATTGATCAGGTTAGTGATGTCTGACTGCTATTATTTTGAACACAACTGTACATACATACTGTACATGCAGAGAATCAGACAGATTTATAGAGGTTATACCTAAAATGTAATACCCGGATTCTATATTTTGAGCTGGGAAACTCTCCTGCTTATTGTGCACTGAAAATGCCCTGCGTTATAGACCTTGAATTTCAATGCACAGTATTAAATAAAACATACAAAAGGATTCATACACAGTAATAGAAAGGTATACAAGGTTACCCATCCTTGATGTGTAAGAGAAAATGCAAATGGCAAGCTCCACATTAAAATGGTAAAGGTTGCTATGGCAGCCTTTACACAAGCAGCTAAGAACTGAAGGACTAATAGTGAACGCCCAGTCATTTAAGATAGTTAATGCCGCCATATTCTTGCTTTACCCTATATACATGGTAATTGTCCAGGAGTTTGGTTTGTGTTCAGATCAACCCCCCCCCCCCCCCCCCCCCCCCAAAAAAAAAAAAAATAAACACTGCACTACAGCCAACCTTTGTGATAGTTTAAAGAAAAAAAACCTCTGACAGTCTAGTAGTTATTTAAATATATTGTGTATAAATCTGAACTGCCAACATACTCCAGTCTACTTTCCATTGTATTCACCTTTTTCACTTGAGCTTCTTTTATTTTTTCGAGAGCTATTCGAATCTTCTCTGCCTTAATTTTGGCAGCTTGTTCCTCCTGTTGATTGAATTAAAAATACACACAAACTGTCAGAATACTTATATATTAATAAATTGATGAAAATAAATATTTGATAGCAGTCTCAAACTAGACCCTTCCAAATGCTCCAGGCTTTCAAGCATTGGTCAGTACATTGTCACCTGAAGCAGGGGTTAGAGAAAAGGCAAGAGAAACACAAAATCACCAGAAATAGAACACACTCTGATAAAGTTATTCAGAAAGTTGATATATAAAGTTGCAACAAATATGTTTATTAATGCATTTAGTTGAGATTAAAAATATACAGAGCAGAAAGTGATACGGACATTGATAATATGTAGCCCTCCTAAACCTGACGACTGCCAAGATCATACAATTGTAGCCACTCTTGGAAATGGTAGTTTCCAGAAATTGTAGACCAAACTAAGTCTTAACTTCCATTGACATCCTACAAAAGCTGTACTACATTGTTATGGTAGTATCAGGGGGCATGGCTTCCTACTTTTCAGCTTGATTCGGATACAATGTTCTTTGGTAGAAACATCAGCCAAATGATGCCCATCACATTCAGTAGGTTCACAAAACACGTGACCGGTGACCCCTGCTCTTCGTGGATTTGGATGATTTTCCTAGCCAGTGATAAGGATAGGTTGTGATCCATCAGAGCTGAATGGAAGGAAAACCAGCCAACTGAACAAGCAAGAGATTGGTATTTGGTTCACCAGGTACTTGTGTTATATGGCCTTTGTTTTCTTTACAACAGATTCCCTGAATCTGAAACACAAACATTATTTTATTAAGAAGGCTCCGCACCATAATTGTTTTTTTTTTTTAGGCTGGGCATTTCAAATTTCTATGATAAAAACACATTTAGAGGTCTTTAGAGACCATGAAAAGAGCAGAAGTACATGCTGATCTCCTACTAAAATCCCAGTGGACATCCTACTCTGACTAAATTTAATACACCTGCACATTATCAGACTCATCGTATTAGTTGAAATGAATGACTACTTTAGTTATAATGAGCCCAAAACAGACTAAGTCTCGGTTCACACTACTATGACCTAAAAATTGTGCGACTTTGCAAGGCGATGTGAATACAACTTTGAAGCAACTTTCAGAGAATCTTCCTGTTATGTCGGATCCAAATCACAACATAGATGAGGATGGGACTTGGAGGCAACTTCCATTAAAGTTTATGGGCACAAGTCAGATAGAAATCGCCTTGCAGTAGTACAGGAACCTTTTTTAAAGTTGGAGCGACTTCAGTAGTGCCAATAAGACAGCTCTCATTGACTAACATGGGATTTCACATGTCATGCAACTGGGGGGGTCTCACAAGCCGGATCCCAAACCTCAGCAATGTGAACCGAGCCTAACTGTGCAATTACTAGTCCAAGCTTTTTTTCACACCTGGACAAAAAATGGTTAAATACTTGACAACTTAATTAAAAATTTGTACAGTGCCCAGGGCTGTGATAATGCGCACAACCTAATCATTTTTGTGTAATCCTTGTTCCATCTCTTATCACGTTACTATTACTGTGCACTTTATATTTTACCGAATTGCAAAAACAGCTCATCCAAAATAGAAACGTAATGTTCCTCTGCTTCCAGCTCCTTTTTTTTTCCTAGGGAACAGCCAAAACAGCGAGGGATAGAAGCACAGCTAGCACACTGACCTAACTGCCTTCACGGTCTCCTGTGCATTTAAAAACACAACAAATATAACTTTTTGATTATACTTTATGTTCTCATAAACTTATAACTTTTATTGCAGCTGATCCTTCTATCCACAGTTGTTCCCCTGTGGTACATGTTCAAAGTATATGTCTTATTTTATTTTTTTTATGGATTACAGATACTTATATAGAGCTGTCAATTTATGCAGCTCTTTACATATATATTGTACATTCACATCCGTCCCTAACCCTCAAGGGGTGTACAATCTAAGGTCCCTAACTCACATTCATACATACACATACTAGGGCCAATTTAGACAGGATCCAATTAACCTAACTATGTCTTTGGAGTGTTGGAGGAAACCGGAGTACCAGGAGGAAACCCACAGTCACAGGGAGAACATGCACACTCCAGGCAGGTGGTGCCATGGTTGGGAATGGAACCAACGACCCTAGCACTGCCAGGAGGAAGTGCTAACCATTTAGCCACTGTGCTGCCCATATGTTGTCTTTCTAGTAGGAAGAATTTATGAATTCTTTCTAAAGAATGTTCTTCCAATTACCTGAAGATGAAATACTGAATATCATTCCTAGATTGTAAGCTTGAAAGAGTAGGGCCCTCTTACCCCTCGTACGTTGTTTGTTATTGTTGTACTGTGCCATGTATTGTCCCCCCCCCCCCTACTGTACAGCGCTGAGCAAACCCTTTGGCGCTATATAAAACTCGATGTAATAATAATGCCTCCATTTCACATAAAACTTGGACTAATCAAAAATTGTGTAAAGGTGGTTAACAACAAAGGTAAAGGTTTTAGTTATCTGAGACAGATGTTTCCAAGAGTAACTGATGTCAAGATTAAGGAAGGCAATTTTGTTGGTCCACAGATCAGGTAAAAACTGTTCAAAAGATCTATTGGGGTTGGAGGAAATCTCCTAGAAAGCAATCAAGGATGTCGTGGAGAATTTTCTTGGCTTGGTTGACAAACTACTCAGAAAGAGTAAATTTGATTTTGTTGCAGGCTGGATGGTAAGTGAGCTGGGAATTTTTGTTTGTTTTTGACAAACTTCTTACAGCGTACAAGACCAAGAAGTGCAACATGTCACTAAAGATTAATTTTCTACATTCACACTTGACCTTCCTTCCTGGAAATCTAGGTGCAGTCTGTGAAGAACACGTTGAAAGGTTTAATTTGGACATTGCCACAATGGAAAAACAATATCAGGGCAACTGGGATCCTTTCATGCTGGCTGACTATTGTTGGACACTGCAGCAAAATGCACTGGACACTGAGTTTAAATGAAAAATCAGCAGCAAAACACTTTTATCCCTGTTAAACTAATGCAGAGCATCTAAAACATTATGTGATTAAAACACATTAAAGTCATTAAAAGTTACTTTGTTATTTAGGCAAGACGTCAGTGTGACAAAACTAGTTGAATGGGGTTTACCACATCACTTCTGCTTTCATATTTTTGGTCTGTGGAGAGCAGGTAGTGGTTTATATGTGCTGCAGCTTGTGTATATAAAAGCACTGTTATGGAGTAAGTATAGTATTTTCTGACGTATAAGACTACTTTTTATACTTAAAAATATAACCCAAAAATTGGGGGTCGTCTTATACGCGGGGTATAAAATGTGAACCTTGCTGAGCCAAGCTGGTTCAAAACAAATGTCCCTATGACAGATTAATCTGTGAGCCCGCTGGATGTGCAATATATACAGTATACTGTGCTAAGCCAAGCGGTTTCAAAACGTACCGGTACGTCCCTAATGTAATCAGCCCGCTGGATGCGTGTATGTATGGTAGCTGCGGCTACATACAGTATACACTGGGCCAATCACGGCGAGTGATGTATTCTACTAATGAATACAAAGCCTGCTCGGATTGGCTGAGTCAGAGAGGTGGGCTGTTGATGTCAAAACGTCAGCCAATCCGAACAGGTTGAAGACTGGTGCCCGCATGGACTGTGTGCTATTTTCTGGATAGTGGGACTGCTGTGACTTGCAGGTCCATATTTTCTGCTCCTACTGGCCTGCAGACTACTTCACCCTGAAGTTCCACAGTGCTATCCCCCGTGGACTACTTCTCCTTGCCATGCTTCTACTTCTCCCACAACGGCTGTCTGTGTGGTCCTGAAGCTGTGGCTAGGACACACTGCCCTCCGACGGCCTGAGATTGGCCTGGAAAGGATCTGTGCCCTCCGCCCTTTGATCATCCTTCCCCTGACACCCTACCTGGGCCCCTTTGACTGAGGTTGCTGTCAGCTGGTGAGTCATCTAAACTCTTGCTGTGCCAGGATCCCTGCCCTGTGCTGCTGGACCTAAACTCCCGCTGTGCCAGGATCCCTGCCTTGTGTGCTGGACTGTACCCATACTGTATCATATCCTGCTGTGCTGGATTACTGCCTTGGGCGCTGGAATTAAATGCTTTCTGGGCCAGGATCCCTGCCCTGTGTGCTGGATGTTACCCTTGCTTTGTCATACCCTGCTGTAGTAAATTGCTGCACTGTGCCCCTGGACTTTGCTGTACAGGATTGTGGCCTGCTACTCACTCTGCCCAAATTGTGCCCTGCAATTCTGTACCAATTCCCTGCTGTGCCCTATTGCCCTTGATATGCCCTATTGCACGTTGTATTTCTGCATGTCCCTCAGTGTTGGAATTACTGCCCTGTTGCCTTTCCCTTATCTGAAACCCTGTTGTTCGCCCCCCCCCCCCAAAATAAAGAACGCTTTGGTCAGGAACCCTCAATTCCCTCTTGATCTGCGCATGTTTTCTGTTTCACCCATACCTCTGTCACATAGGGGTCATAGAGATCTGGTGAGTGCGGTGTTTACAAGCAGAGCACATATCAGTCACAAAAAATGAAGATAATGGATTTTTTACCTCTGGGAACAAGACACTTTTTAAAGAGCACTTTATGAACACTGAATCTTAACATTGTTTATTGGATATATGTACCTCATACAGAGGTTCATGTTACTGACTACTGTACATAATTTATATTGTTTACAATATTTATACACTATATTGCACAGGGATTGTTTTATTTGAAATATTCAATTTATGCACTTTACAGATACATGCACGTTATTTAGTTAAGGACACTACTGGGGAAGGTGCATTGTAGTACAGTTCCATATGTATGGTGTCACTGAAGGGAATTTATTTATATTATTGTTTAAGAGAGTTACTATGTTGTTGTATCGCAAGAGCTGCACCGTATTCTCTTTACTTGCCATCATTATTTAGGTGTCCTTTAATAATGGAGAGAGGATACCTGTATGCATCGCGGTGTTCACTTCATACATCATCTGCATTTTAAACTTGATTCACA